AATTAAAAATATATATAATTAAAAATAAAACAAAGAAATATAATTTTAGAAACTCAGAAACGAAAACTAATAAAGACAAGGAACTTAAAAAGTAAACAATTTTTTTTTAAATGAAGATTAAAGATAAAAAATTAAAATATAAAATGTTTTTGCATGAGACATACAAAAATTCACATACATACATACTATACATGTTGCTTTTAAAAGTATGAAATAAAACAAGCAAAAATAAAAATTAAATCTTAAATAAAAACATTTTAAAAACAAAAAAAGAGTTTTTTAAATTGAAAGCTTACAAAAGATTCAAATATTATTAGGTGTACAACTTTGCTTCCGCCGTTTTCCTATAGATGGCGGTAAGTGGTGGTCGAAATAAATAGATCATAGACGTCATACAATAAACTTGGGCATCTGTCAACATAACCCCATAGAAACATTAGTCGATTTGTGTCTGCATCATAAAGTTATTCTCGATTGAAAATGTCAGTTTACGAGCCAAATTCTCGTCATTTGCGGGAGATTTTAATTTTTTGCTTCAATATGAAGAAATCTGCGGCTGAGGCTCATCGAATGCTCTCACATACTTATGGTGAGGCCACTATTAATGAAAGAACGTGTCGTGAGTGGTTTCAACGCTTCAAGAACGGTGATTTTGACGTCCAAGGTCATGCTCTATATTTGGTGGGACCAGCTCGGCGTAGTGTATTATGAACTGTTAAAACCGACTGAAACAATCACAGGCGATCGGTATCGAACGCAATGATGCGTTTGAGCCGAGCATTGAAAGACAAACGGCCGCAATACAACGAGAGACACGATAAAGTGATTTTGCAGCATGACAATGCTTGACCCCATGTTGCGAAAGTGGTCAAGACATACTTGGAAATGTTGAAATGGGAAGTCCTACCCCATCCGCCGTATTCTCCAGACGTTGCTGCCTCTGACTATCACTTGTTTCGATCAATGGCACACGGCCTGGCTGACCAGCACTTCCGGTCTTATGAAGAAGTAAAAAATTGGATCGATTCGTGGATAGTCTCAAAAGATGACCAGTTTTTTCGACGCGGGATTCGTACGCTACCCGAAAGATGGGAGAAAGTAGTGGCCAGCGATGGACAATACTTTGAATCATAAATGTATAATCAGTTTTTTACAATAAAGCCTCGAATTTCGGAAAAAAAAACGGCGCAAAGTTGTACACCCAATTAAATTAATTATAAAAAATTAATAAATCATTAATAAACGTTATAAACGCGTATGCAATAAAGAAAAGGAAGGTACAGAACGTGCCCATGCAACAAAAGATAAAGGTGTAAAATACTTTTCTATTTATGCTATATTAATTTCAAATTATAAAAAAGCAGTCAGGAGACGCCATATCAAACGTACTGTTTCTTAAACATATTTTTTGTTATAAAATTTCTTGTATTTAATATTTGATTATTGTAGTTTTACACTTGGTTATATTAAACATTTGATATGGTCTATCTAATCTTTTATATGGCTTTATGTATAGATACTGTTGTCAAATTATATTCTTAAAAGTAAAAATAAGAATATAAATATACAAAAATAGAAAAACGGAATAGTTGAAGCAAAGAGTAAATATCTTGTCTTAAGTTACGTGTCAAAAATACATTAAAATTCTAGTTAAATTTAAAAAATATTCCAATTAATTACAATATTATAATATTAAGTAAATAAACAAAAGAAATTAATAATAATGATCATTTAGTAAGATCAGAGAGAAAACTTGAGAATGAAGAAAAAATATTATAGAATTTAGAAGAAATATTATATTCTATCAGAAAGAAATCTGAGACCGGTATTCATAGTCACTTCTTATTTCATGATCGTCTTAAGTAATGTCTTAAGATTCTAATACGGCCCTCTGATTGATTCGTGTCATCTCAAGACTGAACTTAACGGTCTTGAATATAAGAATTGACTATGAGTACCGGCTTTGAGAGTGGTCATCTCGGTCTTTTTCGTTTATCTAACCTCGTAAAGGTAATTTGCATGATTTTGTGATTTTTTTCCATGATATTACATTGATTAAATAAGGATAAACAATCAAACTTTGATTATTCGTCTTGGTTGGCATAATTTTTGTCAGAATCTCAGCGATCGAGGAGATATACTTATATATTGACAATATCTAGATATATTAGGATAGGATAATTTATATTAGGATAGATATATTAGGATAGAATAATTTAAGTTTTATTAATTTTATTTGCTGAAAATGGCTAAAATCGATAGCCGAAACGTTCAAATCATTTTATGTAATTTTTGTGTCATCCATTAAATGATATTTAAGAATATTATTTTTTGCGCATTTCTTACCGCGCTGACTCCAAATTAATTCCTCTTAATAATTAATTCCTCTTAATTTCTCTCTTCATTTTATTATTAATAATATAAAGATTCAGGCAAATGAGAATTCGGTGCGGTACTTAATGCACAAACATTGATTAAATATATAGATAAGTTATATTTGACTCGCTTTACATTCGAATGTTTCGACCAACACTTGTATGCATTATCAGCAAAATTCATTATCAACGAAAAATAAAAGAGAATATAGAAAAAGAATAAAAGAATTTGTATTCTCCTGCGTATCAGACGAGTCCCCACTGTAATTCCGAAATTTTACCATGGTCCAAAATCGATCATGATTATAAAGGAATGGCAGATGCCTATGAGATGTTAAATAATTGATATTTTAAATAATGTCAGCTAAATTTGCAGAGACTTAGACACTACTCCTGAAGACAGGAGTGCAAATTACAAATATATTACAAAATTTAAGCTAAGTTCTATGTCAAATTTCAAAAGTAGTGAATTTGAGCAATTATAGATATTAATTGTATCGGCGTCAGAATCGTTATGATTTAAAAACATTATTTGTGAGAACCCGAAGGTGAAGCATTAATAAATAAATATCTCAAGTATATATATGCAATAAAATATTACTAGGATTTATGTAAAATTACTAACGCAGAGATTTAAAACTTGTTCAGAATATTTACATATGTATGATTAAGACATTCAATATCTTCTGTAAGTTTAAACTATTTTTTTGTAGTTTGATAAAGAACATTTCGGATTAAACGCTTATTTAAATATCTTGATATCTAGGATTTTTACATTCGTCCAATCAAATTTGTGATTGTGATGCAGTCTGATGATCTGTGACGAAGTGTGTCTTGGGAGGAAGTGTTTCTATTTATATGACTTCTGGTATTTTGAAATCCTGATTCTTAATTTCCTACCCGTTTGTTTTACATAGATTTCGTCACAATTCCTACATGAGACTTGATAAACTACATTTTTCTTTGATGATCATTTGAAAGGAAAATTTATTATTGTATATTCAATTTTATAAGAAGTCCAATATTTATTTCTTGTTTATTTTTTTGAAATATTATAGGATCCATCAATGATTGTCATTATTTAAATTTGCAGAAATCAAATTTATTGGTCGAATTATAATTTAAATTTGCAGAAATATGTATTAATGACTTTAATGTAATTTATTAATGACTTTCGTTTTATGCAAAACATAATTCAAAATTTTTCTTATAAGAAAGAAGAAATATGCTTTATTTTCACGATAAAATTCGTCGTTTTCATAACTTGTATCTTTTCATATCGTCTTCTGTTTTAATCCATTGCAGAAATCCGTCATAATTGTATCACAATTTGATGTACTATGAATTTTATTAGGAAAAAGATGTGTCATTGATTGTATCGTCAGTCTATTACGCAATTGGGAACGACTTTGTGCGCCTGCTGGAATGAAGGGTTGTCATACTGACCTATATGGATGATGCAATATCCTATATGATAAATCATATCTTATGTTTTCTCTCAAACCACGATTAATATTACGAAACAATTTTCCCTTATTATTAATCTTCGTTACATTTTTGGAAATGAATCTTAACTGGAAATCGTTTTGTATTTATGTATTAATGATGAAAATAAGATTCTTTTGGTAAAATTCTTGATGATGAAAGCAATAAAGCTTTATCCACTAAAGTATGCCTCTTTTTTTGTGAAGTATGATGTTGGGATTAAAAACTTTAAAATTCGGCCAGAGTAGGTTTTTAATTTGATAATCATCTTTTTTCTCTTATCAATTTAAAGGATATATGGCGGGCGGACGTATTATTAATGTATATATATCACAACAATTTTGTGTGCGTGTGTGTACGTAATATATAGATATAATGCATGTGCATGCAGAGATATGTATTCCGTAATTCTTTTATGCGATTAAATTATCTTTATTGTTATTCTCAATGAAGTTATCGTTATTTTTGTATTCCTCTTAATTTTTTAAATATCTACATTTATGAAATGTTGTAA